AAGAGGCGGTAGGATTTGTAATCCTAACTTTTCTGCTCAAATCGTCTGTTACGCCACTTCTAGAGCCAAGTAAAGAGAACGTTGATATGCTTTACAGCCATCCGATTTCCGGAAACAATGTGTGACAGCCAGAATCGGGTCTGCAGCGCCTTTGCAAAACTAAACTAACAGAGTGAGATCTTTCCGGCCAGGGCAGCGATCGCAAATTCTGGTTTCAACAGAACCTTAATCTGCGCAAAGATATCTTTCCGGAAGGCGCGTAAACAGAGCTGCCGAAGATATTTCTGCAGATAATCTTAACAGGTCGGAATGCCACTAAAATCGGTTATCTACTGGTAAATCTGGCTGATCTGGATGAAGTCCACTCGGATATCCCGCACTTGGGAGTAGCGGGCGTGATACGCAGCCTGCAGCGAAAGGTTATTAAATTGAATATATTGCGTGGCAAGCTGTCGGAATACTATCATTTCCCAATCAATCTTATCCAGAAACCAGCCGTACCCGGATTGCTGCATATTCCGCTGGAATCCCAGCCTCTCGTACCGCCGAAGGCCGTCTGGCTGGGTCGGATCCGGGCGAAACCAGATATCGCGCTAGCAGCCCGAGACCCGCTCGAGCAGACCCCCCGAGTAAGAAAATGGGAGACAGCGGAAAAACATTAACATTATCCGGGTATATTTTTAGGTTACAAAATGCCGGTCATTCAGGCTGTAGACCATCTCAAATCCAACGCAGAATTTGTTGATATTCTATCGGAACCATCGAAGGAGTGTAAAGGTAAAAAAAACATAATAATATTCGATACTATCTGTTCCGCCCGGAAATGGGGTTATCAACTGTTCCCGGTCCTAAAATTCACGTACAATTTGGTAGAACAGCGCGTGAGATACGCGGTATTCTTCCCACAGGCCAAAGACCTTTTGGATCGATCCCTGCAGGGCAGCATGGTACCGTTGTTTCGTCGTGAGATATGCGCGATTGAGCGCGATCGGATTGTAACTGAAACCCTCGCCAACCGTCTGCTAGGTTTTCCGAAGCTGCGGATTAAGCCCTAAAGTCTCCATTCCGGTATTCGTAAAAGGATATGTATTCCCGGCGGCAAAGATTTCCTTCACGCTCGCGTAAAATTGACTGTATAAGAGACTTGCCTGCCTCTGCGGCGACGATCGCCGGGTCTCTAACGTCAGGCTGCCGGTATCTTGAAGCATACTAATTGGATAAAAATGCTATAGGGCACGAGGCGCATCTGCTGGCTGCTTGCTATAGATTTACTGGCTGTAGGCATCCAGGCAGTATCGCCGCTAGAGTAAGGTCTGCGACTGGCCCTGCAGCGGCTCGCGTACTGCCGTCAAGCAGGTTTCCTTTCCTAAATCGTAGAAAAACGGTTCGGCCAGGTAGCTCTCGTTGATAGTATTTTATCAGTGTTATTAAAAGCCCTCGATCAGCTCGCCTAATGTATTCGCTTTAGTCAATGTTTTAAGATTCTTTCCCTCGATTAGAATCCTGATATCCTGAAACTGATGGCATCCGGGGCGTTTCGTTACCTCCAGAATCCGTTCCCAGATAGTAAGGAGCGTTTCTAGAAGTAAAAAGTAGACAAGCAACTGCTCACGAGCGACTGAATCCACTCGCTGTAACCGCATTTCTACGCCCCGGGCGGTCGCGTTCAGCCGGCTATAGTCAAAGCTAGAGAGATAGTGTTAAATAAGATTGCCGGAATAATAGCAATTGATGATCGGGAGAAGAATCTCGTTTATCCACTGCCTAAAATCCTGGTTTAACAGACGGCTGGATTGCTGACCTTCCCGGTAGAGTCAGAAAAAGAGCAGATACAGAGATATATCTTCGAATCCAATCAGGCAACTAAAGGTATAATGCGGGACTTGATAGACAGGCCGGCATATACTATGGGCCTGCCCAGTTGAATCGAAAAACTGGACCGAAATCGGATCTAAATGAAGGCTTAACTGAAGGTCAGAAACTGCTATCTGCGTAAGATGCTATCGGATCCCCCGACGGGTCACGGTCAAACTACTTGTAAATCTTCTTACACTATCGATATCAACGGTAATACCCAATGAAGGGTTTGGGCGATAGTCAGCGGCCACACAGAGATATATTGAAAATCGATCGGGATCTCGAGAATCCGTTCTGCAGTAGATCTGTTGTTTCCGTGCCTTAGGAACTTGCTGGGCAAGATTGGACTCGCGGACCGCGATTGTCGTCGAGTTTAGTACATCCGGAAAGTTTCTGTCAATATTAATCTGGTCTACGTAGTTCCCAAGCCCAGTATGAACCGAATGCGTCTCTTGGTACGCCGTATGTGCCTGCTTATGGCATTTATAACAACAGCCGTGATACTGATATAGCTGATCGGCAAGTGCGCGTGCCAGCGTACAAATATTCTCGCGAGGCTCGGAAATCGGTAGGATAGGAGCTGGAATCTCTAAATTCGACTGATTATCATAGGGTCGCTCACTGCGCGTCGGTAGGGATGGTCGGACTAAAGGCTTAGACTCGGGCTCGGGACTAGCGACAGGCTCAAAACTGTTAAGCTCTAGAGGCTCGTCAATCGGTATATAGCTATTTTCAAGCTCGAGAGGAGCTGGACCGGGACTCAACGGCGGGAGCAACTCTTCCAATTTATAGGTTACCGACGGCGCCCCTATGCCAGTAACATGAGCGATAGAGGGATTAGAGATTGTAAATGGCCTAGCAGAGCAGAATTCGGTAGAAAACGCGTTATGTCCAGTAGCCCGCGCGGTCTCTCGCCGGCTTTGTTACCGTTCAAGCTTTGCAGTCTCTTGTTCCTCTGATGAGGCGTATTTTAGTGGACGATCACGTTTTCGGGTAGTAAATATAATCGTATCTAGATACAAATTTGGCCGATGTTAAGAGAGATACTGACAGCATGGCTGACGATAAAATTGGTAGAATGCTTGATCGATTCTATGTAGCGAGGCTGCAGACTAGCTAACTATCTACAATCGCTGTGTGGGTCATGTGGTACACTAAACTACATTCGGAAGGTCAAATATGCGAGGTACCGCCAACAGATACTGACTGATAAAACTGAATAGGCGAAAGGAACTGGTGCCCTAGAAACTGATGGACAAGGGGGAGGAACCTTGCTAGCTGGAAAGTTCCGTAATTGTCAGGGTCCCTATATAGTACGTTAACTGAATAACCTATTGGTCATTCAATGTGCCTTTTTGGCGTATAGTGCAGTGGTAAAGTCGACGGACCGGTACCTTACAGTTATGACGGTCTACAAAGTGTGACGAACTGACCAAGAACCACTATATAGAGCGATGCGCGTACCTTGTCGTCGACTTGGTATTCTGGTCTTTTTAGTAGTTCAGTCGGTAACCGTCCCACAGACCTACTAAACGGTCTTGGCGGGTAGAAACGTACCTACCCAATGTCAAGCCCGTGACACAAAGGAGCCTAGTAAAAGACTAGTTTGTTTATGACTCGTAGTCAAGGAATTTTCCCATGGAGAGGAAAGGCTATCTAGGAGCGAGGATCTAGGGCCTCTATGTACTAACTGAGGCTCTGCCTCAGGCAGGAATGCATTCAGGAAGGGTTTTCCGTACTGGAAAGTTCGTATCAGAAGTCCGTATCGGGAAGTCCTTGGCTCAGGAGATAATAACAGTAATAGAGGTTGTCAATCCGTTATATTAATTTATGTGACGAACTGACCAAGAACCACTATATGGAGCGATACGCGCACCCAATCGTTAACTTAGTATTCTGGTCTTTTTAGTAGCTCAGTTGGTAAAACGTCCAACAGACCTACTAAAACGGTTTTGGTGGGTAGAAGCGCACCTACCTACTACTAAGCCCGTAACAATTTATATATAGCTCTCTGATAGTATTATATCGGATATACTCGGGTAGATAACGCCGTGCGGCCTTTGGATCCGGGAGCCAAGTTTTATAGGACAGAGAGGAGATCTTTCTATCTATGCGTGCCGTACCGTACAAATAAGGAATATCTTAAGGAGTAGAAGGAGGTCAGATAGTATTACAGTACAGATCTAGGGTACCTGAAGCACTCCCTCGGCATGGCCCGGAACACTATATTATCCGTTCCGGGATCCGCATATCTCCCGCCTGCCTGAAGATCCTGTTGTATGTGACGAACTGACCAAGGCCTACTATATAGAGCGATGCGCATACCAAGTCTTCGACTTGGTATTCTGGTCTTTTTAGTAGCTCAGTTGGTAACTGTCCTACTAAACGGTTTTGGCGGGTAGAAGCGTATCTACTCACTGCCAAGCCCGTAACATTGTAGCTCTCCGAGCTACGTCTTGTCTATAAGCCTGTAGATAGCTTGACCCTGTAGCAATTCAGAGATATTGTAAACTATTAGCTTGCCTGCTCGCTTGCCTGCCATCAGCTCTACTACCCCGCCAGCCCGCACCTTAACAGATAGCCCGTCAGATATCAACAGATAGGGAAAAAGGTGATATAACAGCAGAATAAACTGAAAGGGTTAGCGGTGAGGCAAAAAATCCAAAAGGAGTAAGCGGTATGCAATGTGGTCGCCTCGGGCCACAGCAATCGGTTGCGGCTGCAGTCAGGTAGAACTCGGTAAACCTGCAGCCATTTCCTGCCAAGAATCACGTCATTCTGGCCGAGGTCTACGATTAAGAAAGGCAACTTCTGCGTTCTTTGATCGATAATCAGGGTCAGTATAATTGCATGAGTGATATCACCTCCTTTACGGCCATTGTAGCCCTTAATTGGCACGCTGTTTGGCAGGGGGATGGTATGTAAGTCGAATCGTTTAGCGAGTAAAATAGCGAGATCGTAATTTAGAAAACTGAGTCCGTTGGCTCCAGTATCGATCAATGCGTGCGTAGCAACTGAATATCCATTAATAGCTAATTGAATTGGAACTAGAAAACTATCGTCTTTGCGCCCGAGTAGGTCTTCCGCTGAGATATTCATTTCACACAGAGATTGATACATTAAACCTAGGTAGGAGTCTTGACCTAGGCTTCCTCGTTTTTTGACTCAGCAGAGGGCTGCTCGGGAGCCTTTTTTAAAGCCTTCAGCTCTCGTTTGGGTACCTGAGAGGAGTGAGAACCTTTCTGGAAACAGTCGGTAGCGAGGTGACCGAACTGCCTGCAGATAAAGTACTTTCTTTCTCTCATTAACTGGTCTTTCTCTTCGCCTTTAATATAGTGAGCAGGACGCGGGCTGGCTCCCTTATTCGAGGTCAAAGACTTAGAACTGTCTCGGGCTGCATTCTTGTTATTTCTGCACTTCTTTAGGTCAGCCCAGAGGTCAGCCACCTTGGCACATTCGTGGGTAAAGTCCTCAAAGGTTCGGTTATCATCATTGAAAACGTAAACTACCATCCGCTGTATTTCATCAGGAAGGGCAAAGAAGAAGCTTTCCTTCCAAGTGTCACGATCGATCTGTCTTTCAACCGCGAGATTTTGGAACTCTGAGGCAAAGGTATAGTAGTCCTTAAAAGCAGCCATCTTAATGGAATTAAACTTTCGGCGGGCATTACGGGCCTTATTTGGATCCACGAAGATGCTTTTCAGGTGGCTCAGGATCTCACCGAAATCACGGTAGTTCTGGGTCAAGAGACGAGGAGATATATGCTGACGCGCATCCCTTTCGCAGCGGCTAGTTACATAGGCGATACGAAGCTCAGTAGTAGGATAGTGGTCAGCGTTAGCAGTCATTTTCTGGTAGATTGCTAACTGCCAATTCTCAAAGGTCGGGTCTTCGCCGTTACTCAGCATCGGCGGATCAGGGATTTTGGTAGATCGGTGACTACCAAAGGTGCCAGTTCGGTCCCTAGAGAGGGCCCATTTCATAGCAAAAGTGTCTCGTTCAGCAGTTAGGGCTTCATTCTCTTTCTTGAGTGTCCGGATGGCCTTCTGGGCACGGTTCGTTTCCTTGATTTCAAGCTCGTGAAAGGCAGTCATAACTTTATAGACCACATTTGGGTCTTTCTTAATCTCTTTTATGAACCTTTCTTTTGTTATAGGGGCTCGATCGATATCAATATCGTCCATTATCTGCTCTGAATCATGGAACAGTTCTTCTTCATCAGGCAATCCTTCTTCGGGTTCTTCTATTGGTTGAATTTCAGAGAGCTGATCTTCTTGAAGGTCCTGGGGGTCTTTCTCGGGCTCGCCCTGACGCGCAAATGCATGAAGGGGAGTTGTCGGATTCATTCTGGTCTTGGTGCAACCGGGTTGTCGTGTAGTTGCCTCACGGGTAAAGGTTTCAAACGGATTACAAAGCTTTATACCTACTGATTGCTCAGTGATATGCCTTTAGTGTGTCTGCTTGAAGTAAAAGAAAAAAGATGATAGGAAAATTATGTGACGGTCTACAAAGGAGCTTGATATAAGACAAGTTTGTTTATGACTCGTAGTCAAGGAATTTTCCCATGGGGAAGAAAGGCTATCTAGAAGGGAGGATGTAGGGGCTCTATATACTGCCCGAGGCTCTGCCTCAGGCAGGAAGGCCTGCAGAGCATCCAGGAAGGTTCCTGGATGCCTACCGGAGGGTCCATAGATCCTATACCAACTACCCGGAATGTTCCTCTGGAACGTTCCTCCACACCGGGAAGTTCCCTAACTTCAGGAGGTCACACCTGGCGACCTTTTTGCTATTGGAACAATGCTTGCGCCGCAAAACAAGCTCCAGTTCTTTTCAGGGAAAGATTGGGACGACGAGTGGCGTGATCGATATCGCCAGAGCTTCGTAAATTATTTCGAGCCTTATAAGCAGTATCTATTACAAAACCAGACATTATCAGAGGCTTATATATCCATGACGCAGACTTTAGAGTTTGATCTTGAGCGGATGCTCAAAGAGTCTAAATCTCAGCAAGCAAACCTAGCCGAGCGGGACGAGCTTACGAGATATCTTGACTCTAATCAGTATTATCCTAGCCATTTATATGCCTTATTAATGAATATTTAGGTACTATTAGCGGAGTAACCATTCGGGCATTCTGAAAAGACCATTAACGTGAATTTCCTGCACTCGCAAGCCTCGCACGCGATATTCTCATAATTCCTGCTACAGGTGCAGGCGTTGAACGTCTCTTTAACTCTGCTCGAGATATCTGTTACTACCGTCGAGGCTCACTGAGGTCCGAAACGATCCAGGAGCTCATAATGTATAGGTTTACAACACAATTCGAGGTTAAAGATGAAAATCTTGCTCTCAAGAAGGATTACCTTACAAGCGGAGAAATCGAGACAGAGAAGAAAGAGAAAAATCCTCAGTTACTACAGGATATTGATCCTATTAGTGACGACGAAGAGGAGGACACAGAGACTACGCAAGAACAGGATATTACTCAGGGCCCTTCTCATGAAGCTTCATTATCCGACGATGAAGCTACAAATCCCCTCCCAGAGACTCAACAGCGGATTTCAGGTAGAAATCGGAAGCGAAGACGGGATGATGATCAGTTTATTGAGTATTAGCTATAGAATTAATCCTGTTTTAGCTCATTTAATACCCGAGAAATCTTGAGTCTTGACTAGTTAGTAGTTATATATAAAATACTTAAAATTACAGCTCGAATATGCACAAAATATGCAAGTCACGGGTTTCCACCTGTTTGCATTGTTTAACTACCCGCGGGTACCCAAAAACTACCCACGGGTATTACCCAGCTACACGCGGGTAGGCGAACCCTACCCATTACCCGCCAAGAAACGGGTAATGGGTACCCCGTTTGGGTAGACCCGCGGGTCGTGGCGAGGTCTAGGTCTAAAGTTGACTTTATTGCGAATGCAATATCTGAACTGTGAACCATGGCATAAAGTTTTGATGCTAAAACACTGCGGGTGACACGTTTGCATTTAATAGAACTCCAATGAACAATGTTGGCATTCGGGGCGGTAGTGTTACTGGCATTTCTTTTGTCGGCTAGTACGATAACATAGCCAATTTGGGAAAAGAGATCCTTATTGTTGGCGAATAATGCGTCTGTAAAAACTAGCAGTTAAAGAGATTCCAGGTCCAGTTTGACATATTTAAGGCCTCTGGCGGCATTCTCTAGCTGCCAGTTAAGTCGTTTGTTGAGGAATTCAGCATCTTCCTTGCTTGGGTTGATCACTTGGGCAGCGAATAATAAGTCGAATAAAGCCTCTAGCTGGCAGACAGAAACAATATAGGTATCTCTTGCGCGTTCTGCAATATATCGATCCTTTAGGGTGCCTGGTGCCTGAGCGGTTGTCTTGTCAATAGATAATAGTTTGATACATTGAGTCTTCTGGGTAAGAGTAATCCTATCAGGTTCTAGCTTAACTATGCTGCCATTGAACTTTAAAGGTTTTTCAATAGTTAACTTCTCGTGGTCTTTAGCCAGAAATTGAGCCTTCTGTAACTTAATCTCTTCAGATTTAGCGAACGTGGCATCTGCGAGAATGAGGGTATCGTCAGTCTAAAGTCCAACGATGCCGAAACCAGTAGATTCTCCTGAATTAGAGCTATCTATAGTGTAGAGTAAGCATGGGTCGAATGTTAATTGGCTCATCCGGAGATATTTCAAGTGATAAAAATAGTAGGTTCTGAATCAATAGTTTTCTGCTTCAGGGATTTTATAGAGAGGTTTGATAACTTTCATAACAGTATTACTGGTAAGTCCAAGTTAATCAATAAGTTCCTTCGGCGGGCGCGTATAGAGTTCTCGGTTGAATTTAGTTGTTAATGGCACGTACACTTGCGAAATGTCGCGGAGATATAGCTGAGAATCTGCTATACTTGAAACAATGCAAAGAATAAGGCGCTAGCTGATTCGCTGGATCGTCAGAGATTGCGTAAGAATTAGATCTTTTCCCTGGTCATTATAGGCTTGTATAACCAGTCGCGATTTCTCGAATGCTCTCTCTGTTCCTTTATTCTTGATCTCGTTAACAAAGCGTAAGTTGAAGAGTCTGGTCTCTAGTAGAATGTCTTCAGATTTAAGGAACTCAAATACCCCTTTTTTAAGCAGGCTATTGACCTCCTTTTGCCTTGAAACATGATATAGTTGGATACCGGGATCGCTCCCAGTTTGCAAGAAGACATTTGTGGGCAAAGGATGCTTGCGTAGGCGGCCTGGACCTCGTTTTTGTGATTGTACAGGTTGTAGAGGTATAGGGGCGGGTTTGCAGTCTGTGTTAGGCAATCGAGTTCGTCCGGAGCGCCTAAGGATAGGTCCTGGGTATACTTCTGAAGGTTCTGCAGGATCTGAGCGTAATTCTTTATCAATACTGTATTCTGTTTGATCAATTTGATCTGATTCTAGAGCTTTTGAGTAATATGGTTTGACCACTGTCAATCGGAATTCTGTTGGGCCACTAGGTAACTTGACTGTACAGGTTTCCCCTTCAATTGTTAAAAGAGTAAATGGGCCAATTTAGCTGCCTGTTTTTCTTCCGTTCCCTTCTCGCCAAACAAGGACGGGCAAGCTTGGTAGCAAGTCATGTACAGCCGTAGTACATAGACCGTTTCTCATATTTAATGTATCAGCCAGTTAGCGCTCTGCTTTGAGCTTCTTAATCTCTGCTATAGCTTTTCTGATAGCTGCAGCCCGCTGTAAAGTTAATAGCGAAGATACATCTGAATTAATTATGCGAGGATATGCGCCGAATACCAGTAGGGTAGGAACCAAACCTCCAGGTCCCGCGGAATCGTTAATAGCTTTAAAAGCCATTTGGAGGGCAATCTCTTTGTCAATATTAGGGATCTCAGCAATAATAATCTGGTATGCTCGGCGCAGTGGACCATGGTATCTTTCAATTATGCCTATCGAGTTGTGCGTTTTAATGGGGATACTTCTTGTGCTAATATTTATTGTTCTTGCATAGGTCTTGAATTCCTTGCTTACAAAGTTCTTCCCGGCGTCATGTGTAATTAAGTCTGGAGAGCCTAGATAGGTATCAATCCAGCACATTCGTAGCATATCTCAGGTATATTTAGCACTGATATCTTTTAACCATCGGCCGGATTGGAAACGAGTTACTTCGTTAATAACGTAAAAGAGAGGCATATTATCAATATATATAATATTGACAATAATGTTGAAGTTAAAATGTACCTCATCTTTGAGATTGAATCGGAATCGACCGGAAGATTTGCCAAACTTCTAACAATAGTAACAGAATTTAGTAAGATATTCTAACGCTGCTGTATTTAGCTCATAGCCAGCATTTCTTAGAAGTGTCTGAAATCTATCAACAAATAAATGTCCGAAACGGCAATATAATTTCCGTAACTCAATATCTGTCAGAAAGCAAGGATTCATATCAAATGAAGAAGTGAGATATAAGGATAGAGCAGAATTCTATAACAGAAATAGATGGCTAAATCGACGAATAACAGAGATCTCAACAAATGATTTAATAGCAGATCTGGAGGCAGGCTTCGGGGCCACAATAACATTTTTGAGATTGTTATAGTATATTCCGAAACTGTCTATATCCGCTAGGCATAGCAGAAATGGGATATTAGCGTTTATAACATAGAATTAGATATTACCAATTGGAGTTGAAACTTTTGCAGAACCGATTGAAGAAGTTGTTCTAATGCCGAATTGAACATTTACCTGACCAGCTGTCGAGGTATCTAATGTAATGTTTTCTGTGTTCTGAAGTGCTTAGAATTGGCTATATCCAGCTGTAGACTTTTCAGAGATACCGGTATCGATCATTATTCCTATAAAGATTTCAGAGTTGTATCGGGTCGCGCTCGCGGAAATAGTATTGGCGTTATAGCTGAATGGATCGGTATCAACTATTAAGTTCAAGGGTTTTCGATCATTGATACAATGGGTAAAGGATCGATTTGCAAGTTCAGAGGTTGTAATCATTGCTTGTTGAGCAGTAATTGAGCCGAATGAAATAAAGAATGTATCAGTAAGATTATATTCTTTTTTATCAAGGTCCGTTATTTCAGCTTCAGGTACAATAGTTTAAACATCAAGTATAAATGTTTCAAAAGCTTCTACTTTCTCTTTCTTATCATTCCTTTCGCAATATATTATATACTGCCTGTATTGCCTGTTGAAGTTACCATTCTTTTCTCTGTTATTGTTGAAACGCTACTGATATTTTTCCTTAGATTGCCTCTGTTCTTCCTCAGTGTGTCTCCAAAAGCGGCAAATTGGTTTCTAGCAGACGTAGCATTTGCCCGGTAGACCTCTTTTGCTTTAATTGTAGTTTCTGTTTTGATTGTGATACCTTCTATCAGTATAGAAGGTCTCTTCTCGGGGACTTATGTGAGAGATTCCATGTTGTAGATTCTCCTTTTCCCACGTGGTGATTGAGGATTGCAGTTTATTGATCAATACTGCGAGATCTTTAGGCGGGTCGGCAATAGCCATGCAGCATGCTGGTACTCCCTAACAAGCTGTAATAAGCTTGTTAATCAGATTTATGTTGGTTCAGAGCTCAGGGTGGAGGCCGTAACGTTGTTTTAGGAGGTTACTGAATAAGAGTTGAAAGCCTTGATAGATTGATTTCTTATAGTTATAATTTATGATCTTTTGGAGCGATATAGCATTCCACTTGATTAAGTTTTGCCGGTAGAACTCGAGTCCTTCAAAGAATTGGCATAAGTGGTAATATGCTTCTTGAAATGTCCTTAATAATAGGCTACTGCTGTAATAGTGGTTTTCGGCAACACCTTTAAGCATTGTTAGCAATGCAGCCTTGTATTCATGTAATGATAGATTAGCTCTAAAGCAAATATCATAAAAGATGTTCAGTTTGAAATTAAGGCTGCTATTGTCCGTACCGCTATATTTCTGGTCTTCCGTGTAGATCTTTATGACTGAGGCGATTTCCTTAGAAAGGTCATTCTTGGGCCTCATAGAGAGTGCATGATTGCTTTCTTGAGCAAGGCGGTTAGTCTCAAGGGTAAGATAATCAGTTTCAGAAACGTGGTTAGTTCCTGGGATAGAAAGATTGGTTTTGGGAGTAGCGAAACGGTCTTCTAGAGAGACTGAAAGATCTGGATAGTTTCGTCTCACTTGCGGGTTAGTTTTAAGAGAAGCTAAATAGTTTGGATAACCTTCTGCAGCTTGTATATTCTCTCTTAAGCTATCGCGTGTTGGATTCAAGCGTTTTCGGAGCATAGCAGTAATTATTGGTAAGTTAAGTTCTTCTAGAGCAGCTTTAAGCTCTTTATCAGTCTATTTATAGAACTTATCTTGTTAGACAACTTCGGAAAGTATATCATAGAAGGAATTTCTCGTGTTATGACGGCGGACGAATACTCCTCGCTGAAATAAGTTATTTCGGAGGTTCGCTCTTGTATACGGGCTGAGTTATTTAAAATGTTCAGGTTTCTAACCTTCGAATTGTTTTCGGAATGTTATCTACAGGTTATAATCAAGAATAGTATTTATAAATTGTATATTTATCGCATAAGTATTGAGATCCTGTTTTGTGGCTGTACCCAAATCAATTTTTTAATTTTCGTCTCCACTTGATGAGGACTGTAGTAGTTAAGACATAGTAGTGCAAATGTAAAAAAGTGTAACAAGGTATAAAGGATAGGTAGAAAGGGACAAAAGGCAAAGGACAGTATAGAATAATCACTGAAATAAAAGTAGAAATGATCCTCTGAGATAGTAATTGATAGAAAAAGGGAAAAAAGTGCTAAAATTAGTAGCTGATTGTTTTTCTGATACGTCACATCTACAGGGGTCCTTCGGTTAACTTCTAAAAATAGATAGTCAAATATACAAAAGAGGGGTAGAAGGGAAAAAGTAAGAAATAAGAAAATAAGAGAAAAATAGGGAAAATGCGGAAAATGGGGAAAATAAGAGATAGTAGTCAAGAATTGAGATTTTTGATGTTTTTGGACGTATTTATAGACTTTCGGGCTCTATAAATGATGATTAGCAAGAGAGTGCACTTTTAGGCGATAATTATTCAACAGTTTTTGGAGCTGTTAAATGTCTGTTCAAGCTTCGAATTGTTACAATCTTCTCCTTCAACTGATATAGGGCAATAGCTAGGCAATCATAGAAAACAGCTTCTTAGGGCTGTTAACTCAGTTTCAAGCTTCGCAGTTGCGTATATCCTGATCTGTACATCTACTGATCAGTGTCGGTTGACTTGGTCATTACCCTAAACAGATATCCTATCGATTCAACTGAATATAGGTATGTGCTCAGTGGGTAAAAGTGAAGTGTTATTCTAAACTACTCGCTTCGTTGAAGATATATCAGCTGCCTATGCCAAGGAGTCACATGACTTAGGCATATCAGCTGAATAATGGTTCCAACAATAAGATTGCCGATACTCTAAATAAGGTAAACTTAAAATTTCTATTTACAAATTATAATCTAATAACGCTAACTATCCTTACAGGTCCGCGATTTTGCAGTTTATATCAACGGAAGCCCTTAACGGAAAAAAGTTTTCTTGAATCTTCAATCTAATTAGGCTGCGGCATATCCGCCGACTTGGATATCACTTCCATATCCAAGTCCGCAAATTGCGGATGTTGGATATCGGTCAGATATCCAAGTCCAACTTGCGGATATCCAATAGATATCCAATGGATAATTGGATATCCAACAAATATCCGCACTTGCATAAGTCTCGCTAAATTATCCTATTATAGACTACTATATGATTCTTATGTCGCTGACACACACTTGTTTTAATGTTAGTATACATATGTTCTGGTTATACAAGTACTCTCTAGGAGATTCTCCTACTTCCCTTATGAAATAATAAGAAATATGCCTGTATTAAGAAATATGTAATATCCATTTGCCTTGTTAAACCTAAGATATTAGACTAATACGTTATAGTTGCTGTTAATCTTAAGTTCATCACTTTATCTATGGTATTGTTGCGGAAATATATATTCTACACAGAATGAAGTCAGTCTATTTTCTATCAAACACTCATAAAATAATATAACTCTGTAGAAAATGCACTAATCCTTTCGGATATAATATTAGGAGATAGAGAGACGCCTGATTAATATAATTATTTTATTTAATTACTATTATATTATATAAATTTATAGAGAAATTTGGATTTCTTTTTCCATTTGACGGACTTTGAAGTTTTCGATTATTATGGGTATGCGGATATTGTTTGGATATCGTACGATATCCAACACTTCTCTACAATACTGAGTATCTATCCAATTAGCACATAGTATCGCCTTTTAACACGTTGAAATCGTGTTTGCGACACTATTTATCTCTACCCCTATTATTTTTTTTACCTTCGCTCTCTCTGTAAGTCTTTTGCTTGACATTTATAGATAACTTGTTATCATGTCTCAATCTCAAGTCTCTAACAGTCAATATAAAGTATTTCAATTTGCTGAATCCTTTATTGACCCTGACCTCCTTCAATCAAACGATTTCCTCGAACTCTCAAGTAGTGAAATAACACGACCTTCAATTAGTATTTCAGACATCTATCCTTCCTCTCGAGAGAAAAAGCCTCACGCCCCTGCTTCGTTTGAGCGTATTGGTAAGCCCTTCCAGCGATTTTATATCTGCTACCCTAGCAACGAACAAGATACACAAATGGAGGCATCGCGAAAGCAATTCGTGCATTGGTAGTTAGATACTGAATATGGCCTAAAGCCAGAACTCCGCAAGAGTATCAGATGGGCTAGTAAGCTTAAAAAGTCTGATACTTGATTGTCCTTTGATCAGGTTGCACATGAGAGGACCGGCGAGCCAAAGGTAATGTGTAAACGCTGCCAGAATGTTATTGTTCATCCAAGGCACCGTCGTGCAGGTCTCTCTCCGATGCGGGCACATCTTAGCAGTAGTGTTTGCACTAACCCGCGGCCTCTTAAGAAACAAGGTATAGATCAATTAATTCGGAATTCGGTTAGTACTAAGCTTTCTCTACTGTCATCCTATTTCTACTTAATCGCTAATTCTAGATATTATTTAGCCATAACGACCGAGATCTTAGGGTTTCAGCCAAGAGCTCCTCCTTAGGAGACTTCTTCAGTTTATCACAACCGCCCGCCTCCCATTTCGCATTGTTGAACATTCAGAGTTCAAGGAGCTAGTAAAGATTATACAACGATCAGAAGATCCGATTGATATACTTTCATCACGCACTATACGACGTCTCTTAGATACCACAATCCACGAACAACAACAAGGTGTGCTTAGCAAGCTTCCAGAGGGAAGCCGACTGTCAATCGCACTTGATTGCTAGACGTCACCTTTTCGCCAGGCATTTATAGCTATTACAGGCTATTTTTTTGACCAGGACTGGAATTACTGTGAAGTACTTCTTGGATTTGAGCCCCTTCATGGCTCGCATACGGGTGAAAACCTAAGCAGGACTGTCATACAGCTCCTTCAAGACCATAATATCGCTGATCGTGTGCTATCTATTACTACTGATAATGCAACAAGTAATGATAGCATAGTAGAAAGTATCCAGGAGGTAATTCAGTCACGGGTCCTTACCGATACCTCAATTTTTCGGATCCCATGTATTTCCCATGTAATTTAGCTTTGTCTGAATGATCTACTTGGGAAATTAAAAGCAACGCCGGTTAATAAAGAGGCTGAGTCTGAGTGATCTAACGAACGAACTCAGTCGCTGCAATCGAAACGTCCTATAACGCATATTGTGGATACCCTGAAAAAGGTATATCATCTTAATATTTTAGAAAATAAGCACTAATCTTGAGCACTTTAAGATTCGAGAGCTTGCTGTCTTTATTAATGCAAGCCCGCAGCGCCAGGAAGCCTTTTTAGCTCTCCAAACCGAGGAGTCTCGACTTATCCCTATTCAGGACGTTCGTACACGCTGGAATTCGACCTTTTTGATGCTTAATCGTGCCAAAAAGTTGTAACCAGTCTTTGACAAGTACTGTATAACTCATCAATATCTCCATTTCAAACTGGATCAGGAAGAGTGGCGCCAGATTGAGTATCTTCTCTTACTTACAAAACCTTTTTTTGATTTTACTAACGTCTTATCGAAGACTAGAGATATTACAGTTCATCATGTTTTCAGTATCTATAACCGCCTCTTTAATTACCTTGATGACGCTGAAAAGAAACTGAAACGAAAGGGTACCTCTTGGAAAAAGAGAATGCTCCAGGCTCTCGCTGTAGCGAAGAAAAAGCTAAATAAATACTATTCCGCGACCGACAATGAGCCATATGGTATAGTATATGCGATTGTAACTATCCTCTGTCTATCAAAGAAGCTACGCTACTTTAATAACAAGGATTGGAGGGGAGAAAATGAGAAGGGGGAAAATGTTGATTTTATGAAAATCTACCGGGATGCCCTACAAAAAGAGTTTGAGCGGTATCGACAGAACGTTTTTGAATTAGTAGAACCTACAGATGCACAGGTGTCTAAAGAGACGGCTGAAGAAGAAGAGCTTGCGATATTATGTGATTTACAGACTCCTCTATTACCCGATGTGGACCAGCCAGATAATGAGATTACGCGATATCTTGCAAAGGGTTAGTTTACCAATTTCTTTATACTCCTCTAGAACTACCTGTACACTAACCTACATTATAGGGCTCGCGAAAGGCAACCCTCGGTTATACTGGAAAGAGCATAAACATGAGTTCCCAGTTCTAGCGAGGATAGCGAAAGATATTTTCTCTATTCCTGCTAACGGTACTGGTATCGAGCGACTCTTTAACTGTACTCGTGATATCTGTTACTATCGCCGTGGGCACCTTAAACCAGATACAATCAAAGGCCTGATGCTTCATCTTTTCTCCTCGAAGTTTGAGCTAGAACATAGCTAACTGGAAATGGTAAAGGAGTATCTTTCTGCTGGAGAGACTGCTATATTTGATCAGGCGAGGGTACCTCTTCCGCCCCTACAGAACCTCGATCCGATCAGTAATGATGAAGAAGAGAGCTGCGAACAAGAGGATAAGTCTGATAATGATACGGAAGATAATACAGAGGATAGGGTAAAAGATACGTTTCTTCCGATGTATACTCTAATCCAAAACAAGCAAGCTAAACGGAAACGCCCTCAACCAAGGCCCTCTGAAGTTCTAGATGATGCAGAACTGCCAATTGAAGAGAGTACACAGGTACGGTCAGAGCGGATTCGGAAGAAACCGAGATTACCAGATGGATTTGAGATTGATAAGCTGTAATATTAGTTTTTTAGATAAAGAAAGGCTACTATAATTAAGATAGAGACGTACCTGTCTTTCTAAGAATTTTTGTAAAAAATTACACGTGCATACTCCAAAAAAAAAACAGAAAAACTGCATAATCTATGCAGTCACGCGGATGTCACGAGGCTTGGCATATTTGATATATTTATTATCCAATAGATATCCGTTGGATATCCAACAATTTGATTTCAATATCCAAGTCCGCAATTTGCGGATAGTTGGATATCAATTTGACGTCCAAGTCCGCAAATTGCGGATACGATATGCGGATATCCAACATACCGTTGGATATTGCCGCAGCCTAAATCTAATCGCGTTAGAATAAGGCTTCTCTTGATCCAGAATGTCCGTACACGATAGAATTCGACATTTCTGATGCTCCAGCGGGCGAAAAGACTTCGTGACACATTTGACAAGTACTGCAAGGACTATACCCAAACCCATTTTGCATTGAATATCGAGGGGTGGCAACAGATTGACTATCTACTTTGTATTTTCCAGCCCTTTTTTACGTTTACTACGCTAGTTTGTTGTACTAAATACTCGAGTATCTACCTTATCTTTAGAATTTATAATAATCTTTTTGATCATCTTAAAAGACCAATACGTCAGTTTCGTCGAAAGAAAGTTTACTGGAAACAGTTGATGCTTTCATCTCTTGAGACTGCGAAAGAGAAACTGAATAAATACTACAGCAAAACATATAATATCGAAGGTAATCTCTATGCAATTGGGACGATCCTAGTGCCGTCGAGCAAGATGGAGTTCTTTTCAACAAGTGATTGGGACCTAGATCCTGAGATAGGAAAGGACTATAGAAAGGAATACCGCGAGAGTCTTTAGTCTCTTTTCAAGAGATATAGCCAACGTGTACCATCCGCTTTGATACAGCCTAATAGCCAGTTATTAATAACTGAATCGGAGCTAGAGAGGGCTCTTGACGGCAATTCTTTATTACGATCTATTGTTCCGCAGTACTGTTACCTCCTGAAATCAGGGAACTTTCCGGATTGTCACTTCCTGAGCCAAGGAACTTCCCGGTATGGATGAACCTTCCTGGAGGCATTCCTGCCTGAGGCGGAGCCTCAGGCAATACATAGAGGCCCTAGATCCTCGCTCCTAGATAGCTTTTTCTCTCCATGGGAAAATTCTTTGACTACGAGTCAGAAACAAATTTGTCTTATATTAAGCTCCTTTGTAGACCGTCACAACTATAGGCTCCATTTAATCAAAACTTGTGTAATAGTAATGTGGAAGTTACAATATTGCTTCAATTCATTGTGTAATAGCTAGAAGTAACTCCCTTGGCTCAACAAAGTACCATTACCCCTGGAGCTTGTGCTTAAAGAAATTATCCAATGTTTCAGTGGAAAGGGCACGGTTCATACCAGTGAACCGTCCTGTCCTGTCCAATCAATAGTGAGCACGCGACATCTCCCAGTCTTTCAAGGCCCGGTAATATACTCGATTGGAGACGGCGTCGGTAATATCGGTGATACGTACCACTGCCCGAAGGACGGAGGTAATGAATTCCCCGAGCGCTCATAATGGTCGGCCTTTACCGGTCGGCATTTTCAACCGACGCTCTGGCCGAAAGACACGTCTGATTCGCCGGAGATTGGCTTATAGTTGCGCGTACACACTGCTATAAACGTAAATTTTAAGACCGTCATCAGTGCAAATACAAAAGATGCCCACACGCTAATGTTATCTGATCAACATTATCTGATCCTCCTGCATTCGGTCAATTTACGCCATTCAAACCTATATTCTACCTTTATCTGCCTACAAGACTTTACGGCGCTCACAGGCCACTTGTTCAACCAGAGCTCTCAACATGTTCGGAAAGGTGACCCTGTTTGTAAAAGCTCTGGCGTGCATATTTCCCCTAATATGGCTTCAGCTTAGGCACGAGATGACAGCTGCCTTGGTACGTCGGCGCGCAGCATGGTTCGGCTCGACACCAGCTGCTGAACGACACCGCACCATCGTCATCGTAGGTGCGTCATTTGCAGGGTATTATGCCGCTCGTTTTCTCGCGTTGGGTCTTTCGCCGTATAGTCGTTACCGTGTCGTCATCATCGAGCCAAACAGCCACTTCCAGTTCTCGTGGGTTTTACCGCGCTATTGCGTTGCTAGTGGCCATGAACACAAGGCGTTTATCCCTTATGGTGGTCATATTCGTGGAGCACCGCAGGGGTCGGTTCAATGGGTACGCGACCGTGTCATTGAGGCGACCAAGGCTAGTGTCAAGCTTGAAGAGAGTGGGGAAATGCCCTACGACTATCTCGTTATCGCGACCGGTTCGGGTGTCCAGCATGGCCTTCCCTCACGAGTAAACGACACGGAGAAACTTAGCGGCATGAAGCAACTTCAAGCCATGCAGACACGTATAAAAGATGCGAACCGAATCGTTATTGCCGGTGGGGGAGCGGCTGGCGTTGAACTTGCGGCCGATGCGAAAGACCTGTACCCGGAGAAGAAGGTTGTCCTCGTGCACTCCAGAAGTACGCTGATGCACCGATTTGGTGAATGTCTACAGGATGAGGCGTTGAAGTCAGTGAAAGCATTGGGCGTTGAGATCATCTTTAACGACCGTGTGGTGTACGAGGACACCGACACGTGTACCGTCTCGCTAGAAAGTGGGAGAGTCATGAAGTGTGATTTCTTTGTAGGTTTCATACCAACATGTTTGCCTTTAGATGGAGACATTGCTGACAATGGCGCTTTACAGATCAATTGCACTGGTCAGAAACCATCATCTGATGCCTTCTTAGGGCTCTCGCCTTCAATATTAACGCCGAGCGGTCACATCAAAATCAAGCCAACACTACAGATCGCGGATGATAGCCTACCAAACGTATATGTTTGTGGCGACGTTGCTGACACAAAAGCACCAAACACAAATGCGTTCATAGCAACCTGTCAAGGTGGCATCGTTGCCGACAACATCCTGCTAGCAGTAGAGGGTAAAGCGCCCCGACACAAGTACGAGCACATGTGGTTAGATAATTCTATTAAATTGACACTGGGATTGGTTTGTCTGCTCTCTCTATTGATGCAACGTCGATTACTGATTTCACTGGCAGCATCGTTCGGTAATGCATTTCGGCGTGGGGTTGTCGGCGCTAAACTTCGAGTTAAAGGTAAAAGAGGAGCTCATGGCGGCTGAATGTTGGACACATCTCGGAGAAAGGCCATATAAAGATGCCAGTATGGACAACAGTGCAAAGGAAACCGAGAATGCATAGAATGGAACCTTTAGTACTAGCAATGACTATACACGCCAAACCACTTTTCTTGGCCCCATAGTTAACTCGTTAATGGAACACACGATGTCGATGACGAAGATATATAAGGTTTTCGTAGGAAAGGCGCTACATTTAAGTTTTGTAGCAACCATTGTGGTTGTGCGCGTATTCCTTTTGAGTTTTCTCAGCTATAGAACTGTCTCTTAATATACAATTCTTTGGTAGTTTCTAAATCCTCTACTCCCTTGCTAGAAAACCTCTGAGGATCCGAATGCTCCTGGTTAGAGGTAAACTGAGTTATTATATCGGTATTGATTTCAGTATCCCTAGATTCAATCTGTAGATCTTTCTCCTTACTATCATTACTGATAGGCCCAAGGTTTCCTTGGATATTTTGGGTATCTTTCTTTTTGCCTGCTGTCTCTCTGAGCCATAATGCTCTACCGGGAGGCAGGGCTCCCTCCGACTTCTCTCGATTCCTATTGGTCCACTTCATTTATTCCAGCCCCACCACCCGCTGGAGCTCCACTCCACCAACCATTTCCTAGAATTGCTATACGCGCCCACGCGACGACGCGTTCACCAGTCTAAATAAAAGTGCCACGGCAATTTACCTTTTTTAACGATACCTATCGTTATTAACTGCCTTTTTTTCGCGTGTCGTACTTCAATCCGACAGGAAGGCTGCAAGGAAGCATTTTCCTTACCTCCCTGAATATCGAGTACTGATATGCAGGCCTTGCGGTCGTGCTATTCCAGCTGCGTACCTTCAGAGTCATCTACAAGGCTATCGCAAAGAATGGCCAGGCCTTGGTTCCGTTACGGCAAGATCTCAGCTTAAGCAACAGCTTCAAGAATATGATTTAGCCGATCTCTCTCAGAAACAGGTTCCGATTCTATCTCCCTCTGCATCCGCCTTCCCAGACGGTTAGGTCATAGGGTATCACGAAGGAAGGTCTTCGGAGGCTGGTCAAGGTCCGTGACATTTGTTTCGAGAAATTCAGTTCGATCTATCACGGGGGGTTAAGCGGTTTTGATCACGGAGATACTGAGCACTTGATTTGCGGTTCGGTTGACGGCCGCGAGCTATTAAAGCTTAGCCAGAGGTATTGTTACCTGCGGAAGAGGTATCTTTGATATTGGCAAGAAAGTAAGTAACGGTTTTAATAAAGAGCAAATTTAACTGCTTAACTGCTTGGCCTTCTGTCTTATAGCAGTCAGGAAGTTAATTCACAAGGATATAGACTGCTATATCTCGATGGATTTTGTAAGGAGTGTTCTCGAGAGATAGCTCAACACGCCATTCCGCTAAGGAGCGAACAATGGCTAGCATTTCCTTATCGTGGATGTCATAGTTGCATTCCGCGCCGTTCATAGTCTTCGAGAACTATGCCACCGGGTGCCAGAGGTCCTCACGAAGTTGCTGGAGTATCCCGGCTATTACGCCCTTCGAGGCATCAGTCTCTATCCTAGTAGGCAAACGGGGGTCATAGTGCCTGAGCATTGGGGTAGATGTTAGGGCCTCCTTTAGCTTGTTAAAGGCTTCGCGGCACTCGCTCGTCCATTCAAATGGCACGTCTCTCCTGGTTAACCGATTTAGAGCACGGGCAATACGGCTGTACCCTCGTATGAAACGCCGGTAGAAATTGTAGAATCCTAAGAAGGACTGTACCCCTTTCACTGTAGTAGGGGTAGCCCAGTTCACGATAGCGGCAATCTTAGCCGAATCGACCTCGATTCCTTCAGTGGAGATAATGAAGCCCAAATACTTTGTTCGGGTAACGTGAAATTTACATTTGTAAATGGCTACCTGTAGTCCAGCTTGTTGAAGTCGTTCTAACACTATGCGGACGTGTAGTTCATGTTCTTGCTCGTTCTCGCTATATATCAGTAAATTATCTATAAATGCGGTATCAAATTTGTCCAGACAGTCCAATAGAATAGAATTCACGTAGCGTTGGAAGATGGCCGGCCCGTTGGAGATACCAAATTACTTGACTTTGTACTTATAACTTCCAAATCGAGAACGAAACGTGGTCAACTCTTCTGACTCCGGGTCCATTCGTAGACGATGGAAACCCTGCCGAATGTCTAGCTTCGTGAATATTTTCGCACGGGATACGCGCTCTAATACCTCATCGATCATCGGGATAGGATAACGGTCCTTTCGTGTGATAGCATTTAGCTTGCGGTAATCTATACAGAAACGTAAGCCCCCATCTGGCTTCTCAGCCATCAAGATGGGGGATGCTAATGGGGCGTTACTGGGCTGAATAAAGCCTTTTGCCAGGTTGTCCACAATGTACTGTTTTACAGCCTCTAGCTCCGCTGTAGACATCTTATAGAGTGGTCCGTAGTTAATATTGTTGGGCTCGGTACGTTCAATCTTCGCGTCGTGCCCTTCTCGGTATGGGGGCAGCTCGTCTGAATTCATTTTCAGGAACACATCCACTAGGTCATGGTGCTGCGGTAGCAGCGTTTTCTTAATTCCTTCGGTCTCTGAACCTGGTGTATCGCCAGCTGGAACTGGTAGGTAATAACGGTCCTCTAAGATAGTATCTAGTTCATTTAGGGAAGTCACGAAGATAGTGCTCCCCTTCTTAGATATAGCTCGGTGGAAACCTGGAGCTCCAATCATAGCAATATCTACTACAGTAAGCTTCTTGATGACTCTCGGCTGCTCCTTCGAGGGTTTAGAGAGTTCAGGATCGAGGTATAAAACCTTAATTGCACGGTCTATCTTGACCAAAGAATCTTTTCGGTCTAGAAGCATTATCTGCGGCACCCGATAGCGCGTTTCCTGACTTTCCATGAGTCTGTCCCGGCGGGCCACGTCTTGTTGATGTTTCCGGTTGATTGTAGGCTTCACGAGTTCAAATTCAGGGATTGGAAGACCTATTTTTGCAGATACCTCTTAATGCAGTGTAACCATCTCTGGCCAGAGCAGGCGTTTCCTATAGCAGTCAGGCATAATTCGGTATTTCTTGAGCCATAACTGACCTAGGATCATGTCGTGTCTGCCTAAATTCAGGATAAGAAAGGGGATCTTGCGCATTTTTCGATCATCTACTATCAAGTCCAGCAGTATCGCGTGAGTTAGAGAAACATCCTCTTTTCCGCTAAATCCAGTAACTCTATAGTTACCCACTATTCGTTCCGTTGGAATGTCGAAACGTTAGACAAGTTTCATTGCATATTCTGCATCTATACAAGCAAAGACATTGGCTCCAGTGTCAATTAAAGTGTTCGCTGCTATGGTCATTCCTTGGTGAAAAACAAGTGTTTTGATTGTAAAACTATCTTCTTTTTTTACCTAAGAGTTCCCGGAAGTCCAGTGTACACAAATCGACCTTTTGATCGCTTAAGAGAGAGACTTGTCCTAAACACTGTCTTTTTTTGCTTTCAAATCCTGTTCAGCTCCGGCTTCCTCGTTCTCAGGGCGTTCCAAGGCCTTTAGCGCAGCAGGTTGAGCGCGGGTGGTTTTCTTCGGGCAATCAGGTGTCATGTATCCTTTCTCGCGGCAGTAAAAGCAAAGACCTTCTATGCGGCAACGTAAGCGTTCTTCAGGAGTTATAGACAGATATCTTCCAGTAGAAACGGGTGAGCGAGGAACAGATGTTCCGGTAACAGTAACTGCAGTAGCAGTGGGAATAGTTCGAGTTCTGGTTATAGTCCCTTTCGGAGCTCGATCTGCCTTTTCTAGCTGGTAGCTAGTCTCGATTCCCTGCAAGGAATCTGCCATCAAATGACAGTTCTGGACAAAGGTATTGTAATCGGGAGATTGATGATAGTACATGATAATCAGCTTCTTGAAACTTGCTGAGAGGGACTCATACAAGTCGGATTTTATCTTATCTCGCCGAACACCAGCGGCCTGAGCCAGGGCTTCAAATTTTGCCACGTAATCCTTAAAGAGCTGTCCCGGCTTTATTTTCAATACCTTGTATTCGCGTTTGGCTTGCTGCTTGCGGTTCGGATCAGCAAAGGTCGAGCTAAAGTGATTGTAAACATCTTAGACAGTTTTGTAGGGGTCATCAGCGTCTTCCTTAACGCGGGGATACATAATATCGTAAGCCAGTCCCTTATATCGACCCAGTACGTACGAGATCTTCGATTCTTTAGTTGGAAAGCGATTCGCATTTCCGCTCAGCTTGCGTTTAATCATGAGAATCCAGGGTTCGAACTTCGGACCGGTATATCCATCCTCGAATTGGTCAGGATCAGCAATTTTCTCTTACTTTGATCTTCCTCCAGTGGAGATCACTGAGGAAGCTCGAGCTCCCGGTTCATTTGCTCGAGCAATAAGGAATGCATATACATTGCGTTCATTAATGGTTTCTGCTAGTTTCTTACGGTGAGCAGCTTCTATTTCGTTAGATTCTAGCTCTCGTTAAAGTTCGTCAAGTTGATTCTGGAGTTCGCGATTTTCGTAAAAGAGCTTTCGGGTGAATTTGCACAGGCGTTGCAGGTTATCCCTGGAGGATCCTTCTCCAGGAGCGAGTTCTTGCTGGCTGTATTCATGGATTCCCAGTTCCTCATCCAGGGCTTGGGGACGGTCGAGATGCGAACGCGACGGCGTTGCGGGCCAGGCTGTATTTCAGACGGCTTTGCCATTTCAGGTAATTTCAAGGCTTAATCAAGGAGTTCTGGTGGGTCGAGAGGGTCAAAAATTCGGGTTCCAACCGTTTGAAACGTCGTTGGGAACGCGGTGGGCCAACCAGTGGGTCTAAAGTCTCTGTCTGCAGTAGATTTGACTTCGTAGAACCGTAGTTGGTTAAAAGAAAGAAGTAAGAGTATTGGTGATGCTTAGATTTAAGAAGGCAGGCCTAAACAGACATTCATTGAAGTATCTGGCGCTATGTTTCGGAAATCTAAGCATGGGAAGGAAAACTATTGACAGGATCGTGGTTCGTAGTGTTGTGGGATAACCTCACCAGACGCTAGTCCGCATCTGGCAGGCGGTCAACACTGCGGCAGTAACCCCGTGATCACCCGGTCCCCGGGTTAATTCTAAGGGAGAAGTTTTATTGGGGTTGCCTCACGTTGCCCACGTGATATCTACACCGACTTTTCGGAGGAGGGCTTCTTCCCTCCTAGGGGCTTCTTCCCTCCTACAACTGCCTCACAAGAGTCAGTTATTTGCCTCTGGTGGTAGCTCGTCATCTCTCACGCAGTCAAGACTCGATTTTGTCCCTCCCACCTTCCCTCTGTATATAGAAATTACTGCAATACAGACACATTGCCTCCCTACAAGGGAGCGCGGATGGGCTTTCTCTGACGCTACAGTCTAATGCGTTTACGCATAAGACTACGCATTAGACTGTAGCGTCAGGTGACCCATTACGGCCAAACTGTACACGTTCCTGTTCCTACCTTGACTGCGAGAGGTCACCAATAAAGATAGAGTTTAAAGGATAATTTCGCGGCTGGTATCGCGAGGCGAGTCAGTCGCCGCGTCTGGCCGTCTAGGGCTGGTGTTGGAAGGTTAATCTCCTTAGGCACCGGAAAGACTAAAGCCCCAGCCCTCCGGTCGCTGTATTTCCGTCATGTGTTCAGCGATAGCTTCCTCTGTAAGGGATTTTATGCCCTGATTTTTAATGTTGACACTCAGCCGAAATGAGTATTCTACATGATGGTTACATCGGCGCATGTACCAAGACGGAGGAAGGCGGACGATACTTTATTGAGTTGCTGGTACGGCCAACGGCGAAACCCGAACAGTAGCTGGATTATGTTTAGCCTAGTACTTACAGGTCATCCCTGCAATCTAGATCATTGGCTGACTAGTTCTCTCTCGGTCCGTCAGTCGATCATTTAATCACATGCATCACGCCTGTCGTACTTTTGGAACGTTATCCACGTTCAATTTGACTAAAATTAAAGCGGGATCAGCAACAGCACGAAGATCACCCGGTGTCCCCCGGATTGCCATTGGTGAAAAGGCTAGATCCTGGGGTACTCTGCTAATCCTAATTAGGATATCACTCTGGGTCTGATTGCAGGGGACTACTGTAAGCCCCTGATCACATCTCAGCCGTTGTAGGTCTTTCATATGGGCACATACAACCCCATTGCGATCACTCGCACTAGCCTAACATGGGTGAAGCATCAATATGTGGCGATGTTACAACCCCCACGGGCGCTATCCACTACTATATGCTCACATGTATAGGTTCCTACACGTATGTAACTCTTGACAGCTGTAAGAAATGCAAAGCTCGCCTTACCAGATAACCGCTGCAGAAGAAGAATATTTCTATGATTTTACAATATAATTATTTAAAGGAAAATCAACAACTACAGATACTGGGTTAGATGGCATATATGCTTTACAGTTATGACAGGATATACTTCTTGGCAATTGTTGAGACTATCGATACTACTCGCTTTCCTTGGCACAGCTCAGAGAGGATGCAGCGCAGCTGAAGGCTTACGGGCTATGGCTACACTGGTCCACTTTCACAAGATTCATCGCAAAGATATACCCCCATTCCGGGTCAAGCCGACACACGGACCCCCCCACCCCCACTTCCCCGCCGCGTGAAAATCGCCTTGAATCATCTTGATTGAACGAAGGGTACTACTCATAGGGGTCGGTACGAATACATATTCGTAACATTTCGAGCTATTCGCATTCGCATTCGTAATCCACAGATCTCCACGAATATTCGTATTCGCAGGCCCAATATTCGTACGAATATTGCTCTACTCCCAATATGAATTACCACCCAATAAGAGAAGGCGTATCACGTGCGTTTGTTTATTTAAGACGCGTCCGAATCTGACCTGTTCATTTCAAATTTCCGTTTTCTATGACAGTTTTGGACCTCAGAATGTCTGATGCTGAATTGCAGGTTTCAACCAATGATGTTTCCGGTAGCTCATCTATCGAATATCTATCATGCCCTCAACAGTCCCAGAGAATAGATTATTACCTCTTGAATGGCGGAAGTGATAAAAACGATATTAAAGATCATATTAGAAAGAAATCCCGACAGGACCTGCCACTGGATCGTTTAGGATCAATTGATCCAGAAGATTCTGTCAGTCAGTTGCATCTCAATCTACCTACTTTTTCGGAATCTGTTCCACTAGGGGGCTCTAGAAGCCTTACAGACGCGATACGGCCATACAAATCGTACAGCAAATCTCGCATCAAGCCACTAAATCAATGGCTTTAGAATCAATTTCGAGTCAGTCCTCTTCCAGGCAAGCTATGGCGATCTAGGCGAAGCCAGCAACTGCTTGAGGATCGAAAGATTCAATGTATTCATTGTAGTTAGAAAACTACAGATTCGGCGAGGGCAACGTCGATAAACAACATGAAGACTCACCTAGCCAAATACAACAATTTTGAGAAGTACAATCCAGAGGAGCCATGTGAGGGTTCCAGTGAGACGAAACAGCTTTCAATTGTATCAATATTTTAGTCTCGAGTCGAGCGTGATACCAGAGCTCTATTGGAACAGAACATACTTCGATATATTATAACAGATAATATAGTATTTACAGCAATTGAGTTCTCTGCGTTCTAACAGATATTTAAGGACTTACCGGATGTTTCTGTTGGAACGATATTGTCAACCAGACTAGGGAGGTGGAGGATCCTGGCCTAACCTACATACCATACAGCACCTTGCTTGGCCTAGGCTTGGCCTATCATTCCAAATGGCATACCAAGGGATCAGGAATGCATAGGTGTAAACAAAGGGAACTATAAATAGCTAGGCAGATTGTAGTTTAGAATGACACTTCACTTTTACCCACCGAGCATATACCTATATTCAGTTGAATCGATAGGATATCTGCTTAGGGCAATGACCAAGTCAACCGACACTGATCAGTAGACGTACAGATCAGGATATACGCAACTGCGAAGCTCGAAACTGAGTCAACAGCCCTAAGAAGCTGTTTTCCATGATCGCCTAGCTATTGCCCTATATCAGTTGAAGGAGAAGATTGTGACAATTCGAAGCTCGAACGGACATTCAACAGCCTCAAAACTATTGAATAACTATCGCCTAGAAGCGCACTCTCTTGCTAATCATCATTTATAGAGCCCGAAAGTCTATAAATACGTCCAAAAACACCAAAAACCTCAATCTTTGACTACTGTCTCTTACTTTTCTTATTTTCTCTTATTTTTCTCACTTCTTATCTGTTTTCCTCTTGTTTCCACTATTTTAGCACTTTCCCCTTCTTACTAATCCCTATACTGCTCCTTTTTCTATCCTCTATACCTTGTTACACTCCCCTACACTTGCACTATCATGTCTCAACCACCACTGTCCTCATCAAGTGGAGATAAGGATTAGAAAATTGATCTGAATACAGCTACAAAGCAGGACCTCAATACCTATGCGATAAATATACAATTCACAAATACCATTCTTGATCATAACCTGTAGATAACATTCCGAGAACAATTCGAAGGCTGGAAATTTGAATATTTTAAACAACTCAGCTCTTACACAAGAGTGAACTTCCGAAATAACTTATTTTAGCGAGGAGTATTCGTCTGCCGTTATAACACGAGAAATTCCCTCTATAATATACTCTCTGAAGTGGTCCAGCAAGATGAATTCTATGAGTAGACTAATGAAAAGCTCAAAACTGCTCTAAAAGAACTTGATTTACCAATGATCACTGCTATGCTCCGAAAACGTTTGAATCTAACACGCGATAGCCTAAGAAAACATATACAAGCTGTAGAGGGTTATCCAAACCCTTCAGCGTCCCTCAAAAGCAATCTGCAAGCGAGAAGAGACTATCTAGATCTTTCAGTCTCTTCAGAGGACTGTTTCGCTACTCCCAAAGCCAATCCCTCTAATTCTTCTACCCCAGAAATCAGTCACGTTCCTGAAGCTAACTATCTTGCTCTCGAGACTAACCACGTTGCCCAAGAGAACAATCATCTACTCTCCATGAGGCCCAAAAACGACCTTTCCAAGGAAATTGCCTCAGTTACAAAGATCTATACAGAAGACCAGAAATATAACGGTACGGACAATAGCAGCCTTAACTTCAAACTCAACATCTTTTATGACATTTGCTCTAGAGCTGGCCTACTACTACATGGCTACAAAGCTGCATTGCCAACAATGCTCAAGAGAGTTGCTGAAAACCACTATTACAGCAGTAAATTATTATTAAAGACATTTCAAG